GTACGTTACGTTACGTTACGTTACGTTACGTTACGTTACGTTAACGTTACGTTAACGTTAACGTTAACGTTAACGTAACGTAACGTAACTAACGTACCGTTACGTACGTACGTACGTACGTACGTACGTACGTACGTACTCTCTCTCTCTCTCTCTCTCTCTCTCTCTCTCTCTCTCTCTGATTGGATGATCATGTGGTGTACCAAAAGCCATGCAGCTGTGGTTCATGGCCTAGCACAAGTAATGTTCTTGAATGAATTCTTTGAATTTGATTTTTTAAATAAGTGAGAGGTAAAGTAGTAGGTCCTGTCTGCCTGCACAAGACGGGTTTATCAGAGATGGAGGCAAATCGCACGTCTCGGATGTGCTTTTTGCTCACAAATATTTGCTTTACACTTTCTTAAGTAAGTGGTGTGAATTTCAGCATCCGAACGGCTTGCACTATAAGCTTGATTTGTGCATCCAAACAAGCCCCTAAAATATCACATGATTTTTTATATGAACAGGTCATAATACTAGACCAGGTTTCATCCTTGTTATAAAAGAACAGCGTCCCAATTTACACCGTACGGGGATTGTATGCTACAAGATTGAAATGGAACTTGCTCAGAGACTTCTTTTGAGCCTTTTTGAGTCCCTTGCCTTGGCCCTCTCCTCCACCAATTAGGGGTTGGAGACGGGTTAGATCGGTTGGATTTGGTGATATCTAAAATCAGCCACATAAAAAAATCTCATATTATGTGGGATTGAGATTGATATTGATAAGTTTACTAAAAGAAATAAAAGTCCAAAAAGATTAAGACTCTTGGATATTATTCTTGGTTTTAAAGATATATATAACATCTATATGAAGTTTCCTATTTAGTGCGCATTCTTAACTTTATATATATGGGATTAAAGAGAATAGACAAATTACAAATAGCATTTTGTGTGCTCAAGAAATCATTAGCTCTTGGATAGCCAAAAAAGAAGATTATATGTAAAATTGATATGGAAAAAGCTTATGATAAGATAGAATTGCTATCGGATAGCCAAAAAAAATATTGTATGTCAAATTAATCTGAAAAAAGGTTTATGATAGGGTAGAATGAAAGATTTTATTGAATACGATGAAAGCTATGGGTTTTGGATAAAAAATGGATAATGTGGATCAAAGGCTGTTTAAAAACAACCCATTTTTCAGTCCTAATAAACGGTAGGCCAACTTTAAAGTTTTTAGGGCAATTCGTCAAGGAGATCAATTACCCCTTTTCTTGTTTACTATAATGGGAGAGCTTTTTAGTGTGATGCTTACATCGGTGGTAAATTTTGGTTTGTTGAAAAGTTTTCAAGTGAAAGATGATGGAACAATGGTATCACATATGTAATATGTGAATGATACTTTCATTTTTTGTAGGGCAAATAAGATGGAGATACAAACTCTTAAAAGATTCCTTAGAGTATTTGAGGTGGTTACTGGACAAAAAATAAATCTTCAAAAAACTCATATGATAGGTGTGGCATGTGATAATGATAAGGTAAAAGTTTATGCGTTGAAGATGAATTGTCATCGACTGTTTTCCTCTAAAATATCTCGGGTTGCCTTTGTTTGATAATGCTATATTAATATATCTTTGGGACCCTTTGATTCAACGATTGCAATACTAGTTAGATTCATTGAAATTAAATTGCCATCTTTGGGGGGTCGTATAACTTTGATTATAGCTGCTCTGCCCAATATTCATATCTATTATATGTCTTTGTTCAAGATGCCTAGCAAGATTGTTAAAAGATTGGAAGATTTGATGAGAAGACTTATGTGGGGTGGTACTGAGGAGAAGAAGAAGTATAATCTAGTTAAATGGACAAAAGTTTGTACTCCAATAAGTGATGTTGGGATGAGGATAAAAAGTCTGAAATGCATCAATAGTGCATTACATACTAAGTGGTGGTGCTGATGTACACATGAAAAAGATTAGCTATGGAGGAAAATACTTGGGCAAAAGTATGGGGATGATAGGAATCTTGGTTTGGTTGCAAAAGGGGCTAACACTAGGGTATTTTATATATTTGGAAAGGTATTTTGGCATACATAATTTTTTTCCTTAGTAATTACAAAAATATTGTAGGGAAGGGGGATACTATAAAATTTTGGCATCAGAAAAGGGTGGGGAACTGTGACTTAAAAGTCTTAGTTTCCTAATTTGTTTGTAAAAAAAATACTAAAAACTACATGGTTAGTGATATGGTGACTGGAAAAGGCTTTTCTGTGAGTTGGAATGTTAATTGTTCTTATAGAAGAGTCAGTGATGTGGTTATAGATGAATATATGAGGTGTTTAAGTGTGTTGCAGAGCGTTTTTTATTGCCTTGAAAAACAAGATAGAATTGTATGGGAGCCAAAAAGAAATGGTTGTTTCTTAGTGAGTTTAGCTTACAAATTAATGTTTGATGATAGAGTTAGATGGATTGATAAAGATGCATGAAAATTATGGAAGTGGCCTATTCTTTTAAAGATTCATGCTTGGTTATAGTTAGCAAAGCTTCGTAGAATCTTAAGTATTGATATGTTAAGAAAGAAAGGGCAAATTCTAGTAAGCGTATGCATCCTTTGCAAAAAAGAAGCATAATCTATTGATCATTTGTTTATGAATTGCACTTTTACTAAAGCAATTTGGAGACGGGTGCTAGCATGGGGTGGAGTTAATTGGTAAATGTCCTATGGGGATTGACAGTCTTCTGAGAGATTGGTCGGTATCTAGTATGGGTAAAATAGACATAATTATTTGGAGAATTGTGAGGGCGATGGTGATGTGGGAGATCTAGAAAGAAAAGAAGATGAGAAGTTTTGAAAATAAAAGTTTATCTAGTAATGAGCTGACAGAAAAATTCGTGTGACAATAGCAGAGGTTGTTAGCATTAACAAAATATGGTGGGGTGTTTCTAGAGTGGATATGACGTACAATCTTCGTGTGTTAATTAGAGAGAAATCTGATAAGAAAATCATGATAGGATTATGGAAGCGTCCTAGAAATGGATGGATCAAACTAAAATTTGATGGGTGTTCCTTGGGAAACCCTGGTCAGAGAGGTATAGGAAGAATAGTTAGAGATTGGGAAGGTAAAGTTCTTTTGAAATTTCATGGATCAATAGTTAGAGATTGGGAAGGTAAAGTTCTTTTGAAATCAACCCGTCAAGTTTATAACTTCTACGCACAACAAGATCGACTTAGGATCCAATGGGTTGACCCTATCGGGTCCAAGTCTAGATCTAAACAGCCAATAGGTCATGTCTGAGTTTACTTCTCCTTAACTTGACCCGGGTAAGGGT